TAAATTCTGTGAAGCCGACCCAGTTAGCTTTGTTAAAGTTAACAAAAGTGCGATTGTCCACAGAAATAAAGTCAGAAAGTTTCTCGATCGAGATAATTATGGGCAGATGGTCTGATGCGAGAGTTAGCATAGGTCGCCAGGTTATACTATTTATCAGACCACCGCTAGCGATGGTAATATCTGGCGAGCTATTACAGGTTCCCATAATTCTGGTGGAGGCTTCGTCATTCATTGTGCAGAATGTCGAATCGTCAATCTGTTCCGCCAGCTCCATCCCCCTACGATCGTTTGACACGCAGGAATGCCAAAGATCGTGATGCGCGTTAAAGTCGGCTAGCACCAAACGGTTTTCACCACGAAGTAGCGGGTGATATCCTGTTGGGCAACATGTAACTGGGGGGATGTATATATAATATTAAATATTTCGAGCTCGACATCGCCTGACCGGACAGCTATACCCTGACATTCAAGGGTAGTGTCCCTGCGGTCGATGTCAACATCGATTAGACGATATTGCACGGTGTTGTGCAATATGAAGGCTAGGCCTCCACCATTATCTCGCTCGCGATCCTTACGTAAAACGTTGAAGCCTGCACAACTCAGAAGATCTGAGCGGCTGTTTAACTTGGTTTCTTGGACCGCAGCTATCGTTACGCGCTCCCGGCTCAAGAATGCAACTATCTCCTCGATCTTGCTCTGGAGTCCGTTGCAGTTGAATTGTAGGAGTCGCGTTCGTCAGACTGGGAGTCATGCTGTCTGTGTGAGCTCCTTAGGGCCGTGGAGGTCCTATCTTGGCCACTCTACTGGAGTGGCGGCGTAGTGCGCGAGCATGGTGCAGGTTGCACAGCCGTTGAGGCAGATGTCGCATTATTGCGTTGACAGCATGGGGCCACGTAACTCGTGGTCCACTCCCTGTGTGTCTTAAGGCCTGAACAGGTCTTAAGATGGCTCTATCCATTGCATGTATTGCACCTAACCGAGGTGGAGTTTGGATGGAGCCTTCTAGCGCAAACGCAGCAATAAAATTTCTCGTGGCCCGGGTTGGACTCAATGCCAGCACGGGTCAGGAGGATACGGAGCAACCCTGCTGCTAGGCGTTGCTCCAATGACGACAAACTTAATTTAGAACTTACCGATCCAAACAGGGTTAGATCGCCGAAATAACAGCCCTTGGCCGGATAAAATCCGGGTCAATTCCGTAACGTAGAACTGGCTGTTGTGGGAATTGAATGGAAATGTTAGTAAAAGTTAATGGTTATACCCATTTCCACAATTGAGGACATCACTATAAAACTACACCTTCTTAATCTAATTATTTTTCTTTCAACACGATATCAGTTCTAGAAGCTTGTGAATATTGTGATGAACACGGATGATAAAACAAATCGAATCGTCGATAATTTTCCAGAATAAACTAACATCAAATTCGTAGTTGCCAGTATGTTCTAGTGGCAAAGTTTTGTCAGCAGACACAGTTCTAGTTAGAGTGTTGCCGTGTAAAGAGCAATTAATATATAAGTAAGAAGTTGTGTATTCAAATAATGAGTTGTGAAGCGTTAAATTGTTTGGATTAGAAAGAAATATAAGTGTATATCCATTAAATTGGGACTTTTATTTAACAATCCAGTGATCTAATTCAAGAGTGAGTTATAGATAGACGATTTATCGAGAAATTCGTTACAATATTTTAGTCAAAATCGTTTAGTCTAGTTTCATAATATATTTGAAAATATATATGTACGTATGTATATAAATAATCCACAAGAATTAACTCGACAGTCGGCGGTAATGGGTTAAATAGTTAAATTTTTAAACTTCAAATGCAAATATCTTAAGAACCATCAGTCAGCGGCACAAACTGTTTGAAAAATAGAAAAAAAAATCGGTATATCAAACTTTCGGAACTGAGCTACACAAATTTTCATAGTATTATAATATTCTTATCTGAGTGCGAATTTGAGCGAGTCTGCAGCAAAGGAAAGCTACTAAAAAATGTTTTGGGAATGGTAAATATTTCCTTTTATGAGATAGTTTTGGGAGTTACAAATTGAATGAATAGTGGTAAGCGGAAGAGAGGGGAGGCACAAAATAACTTCCTATAAGCAAAATGATCACAAAAGGTCAAGAGCCCGTTTATGATTTTCAGTCAGTTAAAAAATGAATTGCAAATGCCAATTTAAACTTCATCTATAAGAAAAAGGTTCATCTCTGCTAACCTGAAAGCACGTAGTACAAAAAATGATATTTTAATTTGCTAGAAAGTTTGTAGACGAACATGTCGGTTTGGTATAACATTGTATGCACCGATGAAAGAAATATTGGGTCAGGAAAAACATTATGTCAGACGATCCCTTAATCAACAGATTGATGTAAAATTCAATGAAGACTATGGATCAAGGAGGCCTTAAGCCGATGTTATGGGGTCGTATTTCTTGTAGTCGTGTTGGTTTTTTAGTAAGGATCTGAAAAATTATGGAGATCATTTATTGTGTTAACGCATTTCCGGCGGCACCGTGATCCACTGCTTTGATTTTATTCAAACTTTATATTCTGCTTATGATGAAAATAAATTTACGGTTTGAATTTTTTCATTAAGCCGTTTGGCCACGGGGATGTGGTGGAAAAGTTGACCGTCAGCTGAAAACGATACTCAATGTAAAACTAGTATTTTTAATTTTTTTTTTTGATGTTTCAATTTTGCATTAAATATTATACAAAATGAAAAAAAGATACATATCAGAAGTAAGTTTTGAAAGAATTTATTGAAAGCTTAATATCTTGACTTTATATTTCGTGGAATCGATTGAAACCCAAAACGTGTAATGCTACATCCCATTTGGTGCATTTCTTTCTTCTTAGAAGATGAGGCGATAATAAGTTTTGCTTTATTCGTACGATTGTTACGAATGGTCCCGGTAGCATAATATCCCAACGAGGGGAGTTGACTAATCGGTTTATGAGAGGTGAAAAAGTTTGTCAAACGCAATACAGCAGAGAGGCGTACCTGCGAATCACACTGGAAGATTTGTTCGAGCTCGTGGACAACAACTGACTAACTGCCTGCCTGGAAGGGTTCTCTTTTATATTCATGAAGTATGTAGTTAGAAAGTTCTCGAATATTCTATGACTTGGAAACAAGTTTTCAATCGAGTTTTACATTTTGTGCTCCGTAATCACGAAAAACTGTAAGGTATATACCCGTCTTGTATGCAATGATACGTTCTACGTTAACTTGTTCGTAAAGGTACGTAATAATCAATAACGTCATCTTGAACATTGGAGTTCACTAGAAACAAAAATAATGAAATGAAAAAATTAGTCGTATCGTTTTCGGCTGGTGGTCGATTTATCGACCAGTGAATTTTGCACATTCGTCATCATTCTATATTACAACCAATCTGGTAAAAAACATTTTGTGTAAAATATGCGACAAACATCACAATATATCGCTCGGTTTATTTTTTTCATTATTTTTTTATTTATTTTTTATTTTATTTTTTTTTTTAATTTTTGAAAAAAAAAGTGGTAAAATAGGTATTTTGATAATCAAGTAAAATTTTAAAAAATTAATAAATTAGCGACATAACAATTTTTGTCAAGAATAGAAAGATGCAACATGACATACAAATATTGCCTTCAGAACATATCTCGTTCATTTTTGACTCTGTATGTTTTAATATACAATATAATGACCCGAAGTATATCTCGAATGGATCTAAAGCGTGGTTTCGTTGGAAAAAGATTAGACGTGTTTTTTTGATCAGCACGTTAATAGTCTTTTCCCACAGCCAAATTAATTTAGTACATTTAGATTATAATTGAAAAACCAGTTTTTGCCTTTCGCACAGTCGGCTACTCGACTAACGATAGGCTCGATTAACGATCAGCTGTTATACATGCTTGGGTTCTTTTAATGATTAAAATTCATCAGCTGATTGCTTTTTTATCAATGCACACAATTAAATTTACAGCCTGAGCAACAATTCGATTAAGAACTAATGTATGCTATAATCGAGCAAAGGCCAGTTAATTCAATTAACTCCTGTGGGAAAAGGCTATAAGCTATTAGTTTATTTTGTAAGATTCGGAGAACGGCAAATTCAATGCACGTATTTTTTCTGGCTCGTGAAATTTATTAAGAAAACACAATAAATTATGGCGAAAAAGTACTGAAAAACTATTTAACAGTGCTCAATAAACTAGGGATAGTCTTCACAGAATTGCATTTAAGTAAACATTTGTAATAAATTGCTCGAGATTAAAGTTATAAAATTCAAATACATAAGAAGAAATACAGTTTTCGTCTTTATTATTGTAGTTGTTGCGAATTTCACTTTCGTCATAGAAAGTGTGTAAAGTGCAAAGTGCACTATACGCGAACTGGATTAAGATGTTAGGGTGTATGTAAAAAAGTATTCCACCAAGGAGTGAAGTGCAGTGGAGTAGAGCAATACAGCCTAAAAATACGGAGTAAAACAAATATGATAAGACTTGTTTGTGATGACTGTTTCACTTATATATAATACATACATACATAACGTGGATTGTGCGATAAAAGAGATAGAAAATAGATTTTACACTTATATTATATACTTTTGTATCTACTAACACTTCACTAATTCGCATATTTTTCACATTATATAGTCCAAAAATAGATTTTATTTAATATTTAACTTTTTGTTCAATACCATTTATACGCACAATAACAAAACGGTTGTAGTGTTTCATTATCGACATATTTTGTGAATGAACTGAAAGAACTAAAGAAAACAGATTATATTCCAATGGTAGGAAATAAATAAGACATTATTAGTTTTATGCGTAGAATTTTTTTCTGCGTTGGCAGCCTTTGGCCGCGCTAAAAAAAAAATAACCCAGGTCGGTCCAACACCGGGGTGTAGTAATTTTTTTCGGTTTGGTTTTTTTTTTATTTGGGGTATAATCCTTTTGTTTTATATTTGTTCGTTTGCAAAATACATCAGTATGGTAACACTGGTTAACTCAGTATGCAACCGTTTTGTTGTTATGTGAATAAATGGAATTGAAGCATAAGTTAAATATTGAATTAAAGTTATTTTTGCAATAAGTGTGTACAAACGAACTAATGACGCGAACAGACAGCACGAACTTTATATAGTCGAAAACTATAAGTTTAACCGGTTATATCTATATATCCGCCTCTATCCTCCCATATCCATTTCAACCCCGAAATCCTGGGACGGTATTCTAAAGCCGACCCAAAATAAATATCAAGAAAAAATTTACACAGTTTTATGGACAAATAGTGAAAGAAAAAATACAGAGTTTTTGAATGGCAAAGTCTGAAGACTTGAAAGTCATGACTTCAAATTAACCGCAATAGATTCGAAATATATTGGAGAAAATAAAGAAATTTATCCATTTTTCTGATAAATAGAAGCAACCATCTAAAAGTGATACTAATTATGACAAATTATTCAAAATTCGTCCACTATTATCGTTGATTAAAGAAGAATTTAACAATCTATCTCAAGAGAAACACCAAAGCAGTAAAGGTAAGTTCAAAGGTGTGCAAAGACACCAAAGAAAAGCTTTCGGTTATCAGGTTAATTGCATATTTCTTGAAGATCATCCTTCAAACAGTACAACCCTGCTAAGCCGCACAAATGGGGACTGAAAATGTTCACGCGGGACGTCGGGAATTATTTATGACTTTGCGCTCTACTTTGGTGATGGAACTTGCCCTTCATATGGACCCAGCATATCATCGGACCTTGTATTATAAATAGTATCCGCAGTACAAAAATTTCAAAATCACAAACTGCATTTTGCTAATTGGTTCACATCTGTAAGCCTTCTTGTGGCTCTAAAAGAAATGGCAATATTTTGCATCGGCATGGTCGAAAAAAATCGAATGGGACAGTGTGAACTAAAGTCTGAGCCAGACTTGAACAGGAGATCATATGAGAAGATAATATTAGCATTGCCGCAGTGCGCTGACTGGATAATAAGGCAGTTCACCTTTGTGGAAGATAAACCAATTAAGACATGTAAACGTTCGAATGGGAAAGAAAAAAATTGTTAAAGTTCCGAGGCCGATTACTGTTTCCAAATATTATATAATTAACACATGAGAGGGGTTGCACTTGCCGACTTCCTTATGGAGCTGTATGAAGTGAAACATCGCACCAATAAGTGGTACATGAAAATATTTCACTGGAGCTTAGGCACAGTAGTTACCCACTCCTGGCTATCGGAGACATCTCAAACTCGATAATCTATACGCCAAGCACTTATAAAATTTCAGATGGATTTCGCAATTGAGCTCTTAAGCGCTACGCCGATGTTTTTTTTTAGTTCTACTCTAAAGAAGAGGGGACGCTATGTGCTATGAAAAATGTAGAAACCGACCTAACTCCGTCTAGTTTGAAACACCGTCACGCTGTTAAAAGTCCCCCCAACTCCAAGCGATATAATGAAAATAGCCATTAGATAGTTTGGGGAGAAAAAGAACGATTCCGTCTTTGAAAACCGGAACACCTCCCTTAAAAATGCGTAAAATGTTGTGTGCATCATTGCTGAAATACGCATAAAAACTAGTTATCACAACGAAAATACAAAACTTTTAAAACAAAAATATTTGTGATAAATAAAGAGAAACTTCTTGTATATACAAATACTGCCCTTAACGCCCAATATCGCTTACAAGCAACTTTCTATATCTCGTGACCGGATAAAACTAGGGAGTTAAAATTTCGAAGTTAATTAAGGCATTAATAAATGCGATTTTAATTCATAATGTTTTTTTTTATGATTCCAAAACAAAATTTTCAAGGATTTTAACCACTGAAAATGTGTTTATTGAGTGATAACTGAATCGTACAAAATCATCAAAATATAAACAGAAAATTCATGAGAAAAACAGAAAAAGGTTTTTTTTGACATGTATTAAAAATTTTTTTTGTAAGAGAAAGCACGCTCCGAAGTAATCCAATCTTATATATGTAATTTAATCACGATCCAAATCGGTTACGTATCGCGAACATAGAAAAAAGTAGAAACGATGAAATAATTATTGAAAGTGAAAATTATAATAAAAAAATTAATTGAAAAAGGCGATTGAACAGAACATGTACTAAAGTTATGAAGTCAAAATTCCGTTTGTACAATATTAAATTTAAATATGAAGATAGCCTCACAATCGAGAAATTAAAAAAAAAAACAGAAGTATATACCGGACAACTCAATATACACAAAAAAAAGGGGAAAGTACAAATAAAATATCAGAAAAAGTTGTAACTTCAAAAATTTTTTGTTTTACAGGCCAGCACAACTCACAAAATTATCGCGTTTATGCAACCAGTCTGAAATTCCACCTTAATCACAATCTCTGTATAGTTTGGGGAGCCATATTTGAAAAAGAAAACTCCCTCTCCTTTCCAATGATGAAGGCGTAAAGCAAAATATTATTTGGAGGAAGTGCTTTTTGGATCCAATTACAACAAATAATTCAAGAACAACTATTGATTATGTGATCTCAAATATGTATAATACCACAAGTCAGGTTGATGAAAATTTTTAAATATCAGACCGTGAGACAATTAAAATAGAATTACCAGTTAGAATTCCGTAAAGTAGGTCCCTAATAAGCAAAAATGTATATTCGTTCCATTATGATGACTATTGACTATATTGACTATAAAAAAGAACGATCCATTCAATATAATGAGAAAAAATATAAACGATTTTAAAGGGAATAATAACAAGTCATACAAGTTATAGAATAAACATGTATGGTAACTCAAATAATTGGTTTAATAAAAGCCTAAAAATACTTAAAAACAAAAATATTAATGCATATCAACCGGCAAGTTTAAAAATATAAGTGAAAGGTGGGAAATATACATAAATTTAGAAAAAAATATTGTAACGGATTTCTCGATAAATCGTCTACCTGTAACTCACTCTTGAGTTCGATCACTGGATTGTTAAATAAAAGTCCCAATTTAATGGCTACACACTTATCTTTATTTCTAATTCCAACAACTTAACACTTATTGCTCGTTATTCGAGCTTACAACTTCTTGCTTATAGCTTAATTGCTCTTATCACGACAACACTCTAACTAGAACTGTGTTTGCTGCACAATCCGGCAGCCCTTATATAGTAAATCTGTAACAAAACATTGCTTCTAGAACATTCTGGCAACTACGAATTCGCTAACTAGTTGCTTCTGGCAGTTTATTGTTGATTCGATTTTGTTCTATCATCCGTGTTTGTCACACTGCCCTCCACCTAAGTCTGATCGTCCCGATTAGACATATTTGCGATACCAAACACAAAGCTTTTATGTCCCCCATCTCGTCTTCATCGTTAGCCGTCCTTCTCTTCTTGGAATTAATTCCATCCGTTTTCCGGATACTCAGTTTCTGGTACATCCCTTGACTTAAAGCTGACTCGAGATTCCATTCTTGATCAGAACGTAACTCCATTGGAACACCGAATCTCGTTACCCACTTGTTGATGAATGCCTCCGTCACTGGTTCAGTCTCTTGGTTAGGAATTGTGTATACTTGTGGCCATTCATTGAAATGGTCCTTGACTACCAAAACATGACTATTTCCTAATTTATTGGTGGGGAATGGACCATCTTCATACAAGCCTATTTTCTCAACTGGCGCACGCGAATTGTGCTGTTTCATCTGCCCATCACTCCTGGACCTTGATCCTTTAGCTACAATGTTCTCAGCATATTTCGTAATCCTTTCTATAGCTGATTGACAACCAGTCCAATAAAACCTTTGCTTCAAATGCTCATCCGTGTTTGTCACAATATTTTTGCAAAAAAAGTCGTTGCCAATAACGATAAGAGATGAAAATGTAAACTTAAGACATAATTGAAACTTTTGTTTTCAGTGTTTTTTTTTCTTAACCCCAACTATTTGGAGGTTTACGTCTTCATTGTTGATAAGGTGAAATACCTAGGGCTTATCCTAAAGAAAGCTTTCATGAAGGCTAAATATGGAGGATAGAGTAAACAAGGCATCGGTTGCCTTATATTGCTGTATAAGAGCTATAGGGAAAAGGTGGGGATTTTTACCAAAGGCGGTGTTTTGGTTCTACGAAACCGTACTCAAGCCAATGATGTTTTATGGTATATTGTTCGTCTCGTGGAGAACGCTCGAAGAGGCTACACTTGCAAAGAAGCTTGGACGTGTCCAAAAAGCAGCTCACTTTGGCATCTCCAGCTACACTGCAGTACGAACTATACCAACAATAGCACTTAATACCATTTTAAACATAGCACCCGTAGACATTGCCGGGTGGGGTATTGCTTCGAGGTGTGCTCTAAGACTCAGGGGAGTTGGGTAGTGAACGACCCAATATAAAGTATCATAACAAAGCTGCACCATAAGATACAAGACTGTTACTTGGTACATCGAAATACAATACATTAGGGAGAGGCACCTGCGGTTCAACATTTTTTGAAAAAATGCCGTGGCCACGCCCCTACTAGATTTAGTTTATATATCTCTCAAATCATTAAAGCCAACCCAACCGAATATGCTCTGAACTGATATTTTTATTATTCCCTATTATACAAGGTGCGTTCCAAAGTAAACAGGACACAAGTAACAAAGTAAACTCTAGTGGCGCCATCTACATGTCGACTAGTGCGTTAGAATCTGCTATCCTTTATCGACTATCGCGTTTTAAGTGTCAGTATGTTTTTGTCATCAGTGCGAAGATGAGCTTCGAACAAAGAGCCAACATTAAATTTTGTTTTAAAATTGGTAAAACTTTTACCGAAACGTTTTAATTGATGAAACAAGTTTATGGCGACGATTGCCTATCCCGTAGCAGAGTGCACGAGTGGTTTCAACGTTTTCAAAGTGGTCGTAAGGATATAAATGACGATGAACATGAACTCAAAACATCGCGCCTAGAGAAATCAAAAGTGAAGACAATGCTGATTTGTTTTTATGATTCGAAGGGTATTGTCCACAAAGAATTTGTTCCACCCAGCCAAAACGTTTACGCGGTATTCTACCTTGGAGTTTTGAAGAGTTTGGTGTGCCGTATTCGGCTCGAATATCGCGAAGATGGAAGTTGGCGTTTGTTGCACGATAATGCGCCGTCTCATCGATTGACGCTTGTGGCCGATTATTTGACCAGAAATCACATTTTAACAATCAACCACTCCCTGTATTCACCTGATATGGCACCGTGCGACTTCTACCTTTTCGGAAAAATGCATTTGCCGATGAAAGGAAAGCGTTATGCAGACGTGGAGGCCATTCAAAAGGCTTGCACCGGGCAACGAGCTAAAACACTCGCTCGACATGCTTTTGGACCGTGCAAAAACCTGTATTAAAGCAAAAGGAGACTATTTTGAATAAAATTAATTTATTTTGCCGATAAAACCATTTGTTCTGTCTTTTTTTCTAAAAGTCCTGTATACTTTTGAACGCACCTTGTAGGAGCCGGTGTGAAAAATTAACAGTGGGCGTGGCACTGCCGTCAATTTGTGATATACATACACTCGGCAGAAAAAGTCTGCGTACACGCCTATGACTTATTTGATTTTATTAAAATATATATTCTACTTGTATATACTAAATTTTAGAATAAAATCACATTTAGTGCTTCATAACTAGTCTGTTCCATAGTTTTATAGAATGTAAAGCAGAGAAAATCTGATACCATAGTATATACAAATTTGTCATTTCGCAGCGCAGAAAAAGTCTGCGTACAAGTAGTAAAATGGGAATTCTTCGCGTAAAAACCAAGAGTAAAAGTGTCGGAAAGTTATAGTTTCACTTGTTTTCGGAAAAGTAGCAATTTTAAATGATCTTTGTTTTATTCAGTTTGTTTGTTTATAAATTTAGAACATCAAATCTCGCTTAAAAGAAAACAAAGGGATCCCCTGAAAGGGAAATAATGATTAAACTTTTGGCAGAAGACGGTGAAATCGGTCGAATTGTTGGAAGAACACATTCTTCCATAAAAAGAATAATAAGAAATTACAAACATACCGGCTATTTTATATCTCGTCCCGTCCTGAGCGGCCAAAAATACTTGCATAGCGTGAAACACGTAACCATGCGACAGAAAATATGAAGCAAAACCCCCGAAAATTTTAAGAAATCTTTCGTACACGATCCGCAAAATAAAAAAAGCAAGTTTAATGGTCAAGTCGTACACAGGAAGTCATTCATATAGCTAGTCAATAGGCAAGTGCATAATGCTTTTGCGAAAGAGCACATAAACAAGCCCCGGGAGTTTTGGCAGAAGGTTATTTTGTCGGATGAAAACAAGTTTTGGATCTTTGGAATCAAAGGCGGAAGGATGCGAAAAACGAGCAAGGCACTCTATTAGGTAATCTTGATGAATTCTGTGAAGCACGGTGGTGAAGAAGTAATGATATGGGGGTGCATAGATAGTAATGGAGTGGGTCGAATGGAAGGTATAGAGTCCACCAATGGTCAATATGCATACCGTAATATCTTAAAAAATCCATTGAGCCAAAGAGCGGAAGAATTGTGGCTTGGAAGCGACTGCTATTCTACAGTATCCGGCACTCGAAGCGTAACCAACTTCAGACCGCTCGCGCAGCTGACGCAAGGGCATCAGCTGTTTGTAGGTTAGCTAAATGACAGCTTAGAATATTGTTGACAAGTACACGAAAGCATTTTGCCGAGAGTGAACGCAAAACAAAGAAATCAGTAATGAATTTCAAACGTAATAGTGTGATTGGATTATATTTAGCTGGAAAATCACAACCAGCAATTGTTCGAGAGCTCAAACCCCTAAAAGTGAATAAAGTTTTCGTTTATCGAACCATAACTCGTTATAATAATACTTCTAGCATCGCAAAACGCCATGGTGGTGGTCATCAAAAGACTGCAACGTCACGAGAGATGATTAAAAAAGTGAAAAAGCGACTTTAGCGAAATCCCCGACGAAGTGCCATTCAAATGACGAAAGAACTGAAAACATCTGACCGTAGCATCCACCGCATACTGAAAACTTATTTTCAGGTCAAGCCTAATAAAATCCAAAAGGCGCATGATCTCACATCCAAGCAGCAATAAGTCAGACTTCAGAGAGTATAGGAGTTGCTTCGCTTAGCTGAACGTGTTCAATTTCCGAACATTGTGTTTTCTGACGAAAAATTTTTTACAGTTGAGCAATTCGTAAACTCTCATAACAATAGGATTT